CATGTGGGGCCATATTTCAGAGTCTGCGCGGAGCTGTCACACTCTTTGGCTCCGGCCAAGTCAATTCTGTGCCTCCCTTAGGCCAGTGTTTCTCTCTGACTCGGTTGGGGGATTTATTTCGTTCCAGTATTCAGCAAAGTCTCCCCCAACTAACAGATGGAAATTTAGCTCATCCTCGGACTATAAATTTGGTGCGACAAGATCAAAAGGAGCAGATGTGTAAGTCCGCTGGTGGACAGATCGCTGGCACAGAGGTGAAATAATCAAAGACAGAGGGGGAGCCATCTTCGGGACCATTCAAATATCCAGAACCTCTAAGAGGTTCCCCTTGGAGCTGTGAATACATCACAGAGGATCTGCCTTTCTTACCATCTGACGTCGGCGCCATTGACAATATCCACACAGCATTCGGGGTTCTGTGAGCCCAAAGGAGTTGTAGCCCATTCCCTCTTCCTTCACACCATCACCACCCACACGGAATAAAGTCTTGCTACAAATGGCTAAAACCCTCACTCCATTTGTCCTACTTATGGCGTTCTACACTGAGCAGAGTGGGGGCACCGGTGGCACCAGGGTGTGGGGCCTCTTGTCTCAATACTTGAGATTTGGCAGCGATGAAATTCATCTGAATGCACAATGCCTTTTGTTCTGTTTGTTTTCTCCCCCCACCCAGTGCTGAATAAGGGTCAGTGTGTGACGAAGTATTATCGTTGGATGCAGAAGAATGGAGGATATATTTGGATTCAGTCTAGTGCCACCATAGCTATTAATGCCAAGAACGCAAATGAGAAGAATATCATCTGGGTGAATTATCTTCTTAGGTATACTTTCTCTCTCTCCCTTTTTCAATCTGTCGTAGTTACAAAATGTGCAGCCCAATGATTAATAGCTAATGTGCTGGGGAGTGTTGGCTCTGACAGTACTTTGTGTGGAGTGACATGGAGATTCTGCATTTTTTCCTCCTTCTTCCCACATCATGCAAAGAAATGCAAGCAGCTCAAAGCTGGGTTGGAAGGGAAGTTCAGGGCAGATTTAGAATATTTTCTAAGATTCCTGATCCACACTGGACCACTCTGAAGAAGAGGGTTTGGTTTCCTCGACAAATGCTCAGGGCCAAATAACCCTTGCCTACAGTGCAAGCATTTGAGATTCCCTTCTTTACACACACACACACACACCTCTCTCTCTCTCTCTCCCACCCATTCTAAGCCCCGTGCAAATGAAGCACAAAAGGCAAGGAGAAGAACTAGCAGGGTATCTTGTATTCCCCTTTACATCCCATCCCTCGGACACACTTGGGAGACGGCACCAGATATGAAAGCCTAAGCATTCAAGTTTGGGTTGGCAATGTGAGTTGCTTTGCCAAAATGAAGGTAGTATCAGTACGAAAAGAGGCAGATTTCTTTCAATGACTACTCCGAGGCGTCGGGCAAGTTTTACTGCTGTTTTTGGAGCAGCCTTTCAAAGTCACATCCATGAATGAGGCCAGGCTCGGAGGCAGCCGGAAATAGGACGTGAGACAGCATTTCGTCCTCCTGCCCCCTCTTTCTGAGTGGGCTTCAAAACGTTTTGGGGAAAATTCCATGCTCTTTTCATCCCATTTTTCCACAGACTTTTTGAAGCCCCCAGTTCACCCTCCCTTTGGACTCAAACAAGCAGAAAACTGACCCAGGCCCCCAGCCTGTGTGGTCTGGTCGCCAACCTCCCAAGAGGCTCTTCGGTCAGCCTGGCTCCCTCCCACTGTCTTCCCAGCCTTTCGGGCCTCATGGCTCAAAGCAACCAATGTCACGTGCACCATGGCCTGAGCAGGAACACTTGTAGTTCTTATGAATGGAAGTCATTGCCCTTTGGCTGATAATCTAGACAGCAACTACCTGAGTCCCATTTTTCTCTGAGACAGCCAAATGGAGCCGAGATGCTAACAACCATGGCTCATCAGCCCACTGGCCCTTCCGAGTGATTCCCGTACTTTGGTGATGGCTTGAAGGCATGGATGTGCTTGCTACCAATAGCATATCAATCAGACACTAATGATTATTGCTCTGGAGAGGGCCTTAATGTGCACCACTTAGAAAAGTCTTCATTTATCTACTTTCCTTTTTCTGACCTCTTCCACTCTACATTAATTCTCTCTAAAGGTGAAAGGCTGTGTGTTTACTGTGACTTTCCACTAAGGCCGGGTATTCACACACAGCCCCCTTCCCCTGTGTTAGTGGATCCACTGCAGACGGGTGCTGATGCCAGGGGATCCTTTTACACAACATTTCAAGAAGCAACAGTCGCATGTAAAGCAGAAGGCTATGAAAACTCACACGCCAAACAGAATAGAATAAAGAATTGCGGCATTGATAGCCATTCGCTAGGCAAAAAGTGGTAGACCTTTTGCCATTAATAATAAAACATTGGTAATAGCAGATCCTGGTGCAAGGACGAGTCTGTCTCCCATGCTGATAGAGCCCACGGACCAAACATAAACTACCTCGGTCTTAGCTAGTAACAGCACTGCTTCCCCCTCAGTGGTAGCCTTCTCAGAGAGGTCTTCCCACCTGGATGTGCAGTACTGTCTCGTCAGCCTCACGGCTTCCTACTCCACTTCCAAATGGACAGACCGGCAAAGGTTAGGACATCGGGCCATGCAACTTTACATTACACTTTTCACAAATGGCCCACGCTCATGAGTGTTTGATGGTGTCATTTCTCCTCCTTCCATACAGATCGGAAGGAAGCAGTTTGGGTAACGAGGACCAGTCTTAAGGGCTCAATAGCCACAATCACAGAGAGGGAAAGATCTGTGTCCGCTGACTTCAACATCCCCCCTCAGCTCAAGGATAAACGACTCATTAGGATGATAAGTGACCCGTGTATCCTCACCCCCCTCCACTGGAAACGGGAGCAAGCCTTTAGCAGAGGAAATGCCACCAAGCTGCCACTCGTTGGCTATCACTTGTATAGGCTAGCGATCTAATAAGAAAAATAGCCCCCAAAAGGCAACCATTTAAGTTTGTCGTTCTTGTACCTGCATTTTTGTCCTTTGTTCTTCCCTTAGCTATACTCTCCTGTTACCTGCCCCTCCTACCCAGGATTCCCCACGCCGGAGTCTCTGTTCTATAATTACTGTTTCTCCGGTCTTTTTTCCCTTTCCTTACACCATTCAATAGGATTAGAGACTCAGCGTATTCAGAGGTTGTGTAAGTGCTAAATCCGCCTTCCCACCATTAGTCTCTTCTGATTATCTAGCAAGAACTTTGCAGCCCAAACTAATTCACACATAGGAATAAATGGCTGATAATCCATTTTAGGGAATTAACCCTCCAAAGGGCATTTGCAATTTTAGAGTACTATCTAAAACAATGACATTCTCACATGGGAATTGCACTAGGAATTAGCAAATAAGTCAGTAATTAACTATTGTTCCTCCCTGCTTGGCTGGCCATTGTGGAAAGGTAAAAGTTTCCCATTTTGAGGCAAAGAGTTTTCCTAGTGCCTTCAGAGTACCCCGACAATACAGATGAGGACCCGTTCAGACATTGGCATTTCCAGGAGACTGTTAACTCAACCTGACCCAGAATGCCCTTGAAGCCGCTTTCTGAATTATAAATGGAACAACACTTTGCACATCTGTGCCAATGGGGTTAGATCCATTCTTCTAGGGCCTCTTTCACACTGGGACCCTCCCACTGCAATCAGGTCTCCAGCTAATAAGCCACAGGTGTACACCACATGAGCAGATGAAAATGTGATTGTAATAGGTGTGTTGACAGTTCAGTAGCCATAATGCATGCATCCCAAGGTGCACCTGTGCATCTGTCATAGAGCTAGGCACTTAGGGCTCTGGGCCTCCCTCCCCCAATACCTTTGGAGCCATCTGAACAGCTGAGAAGTTACGTCAAGAAGCCAAGAGAAGGGTACTGGGGCAATGGACTCATTAGCTGCCCAAGAGAAGACAGGGCACCCCAGGTGGTAAGGGAATGAATTGTTAAGAGTACTTCTTCTCCCCCCTTCCCCCAGGTGTTATACTAGGAGGAATGTCAAGAGCACAGGTCTCTGGCCCCCAGTGGGATCTGATTACTTAAAACCTTTTCAGTGGCTTTCATGTCATATTTAGGTATTCACTCATTGTATCATGTTGCACCTGTACCATGGTAGAGATCATCCAAGCTTCCATAGAAATCCCTTGACACGCTGAGAAATGATTTCAGTCTTTCTCTAGACTCCAGGAGGGTGGGTTAGGGAAAGGGGGAAAGCTGGCCCAAAGCAAACCATGAAGGACTGGCGATTGCACTCCTGACGACTGCTTCCCTGCCCACAGTAATCCCGAGTACAAGGACACCCCCATGGACATCGCGCAGCTCCCTCACCTGCCAGAGAAAACGTCCGAATCCTCAGAGACCTCCGACTCGGAATCAGACTCTAAAGACACCTCAGGTATTACAGGTATTACTTCTCCTCCATCTTCCGCAGTGTGGATTTGCCTTTGCAAACACCGGAGGGGTGGGGTGGGGGTGGGGGAGTGCAGGGATCATGTTTGACCAGCTAAGCAGCTGGTCCAGGTTGAAATGTCAGCTGTCCTCGGGTTACACAGGAGAGCCTTTCCTAACTGCATGGTTCGGAATTTGAAGGTCGGTTGGAACAGGTACATATTGTGCTTCCTTGGCCCTTCTAGAGTGTAAGAAATGCTTGAAGCCTTTTCAGTGATTGAAAAGCTACACGTGGAGCACCCAAGGGGGGGTTGTGGTAAAGGATTTGTTGCGAATAGGGGTTCATTCAGTGCTTTCAAGGTGAGGGCAAATGTATATACCATCAAAGCAGGACCTTCAAGGCTGGTGGTGGCCACTCCAGGATGACAGCTGACCACTCATTTTGCCAGTGTGAGACTCTCCACAGCCTGTTGATAAGCCAGTCTCCCACATGAGGCTCCTGAAAGACCTTGCTACCCCTATTGCAATCTGCCGCGCCAGAGCTTTGCCTGTCGTTTGTCTTGGTCCAGTCACCACCGCAGAGCACGGTGACAGAGTCAATTCAAAACCCTCTGTTAAAGGGAAAATGGGAGTTGGCCATAGGCAACTCTTTGTAACACTGCAGACTGCTGTGTACAGTGGCATATCACATGACATGGTTGCTGAGACTCTCATACACACACACAGAGGCTTCAAAAAGTTCATGGAAAATTAAAAATAATTGAAATCTATGAACTTTTAAGAGTCCTTTTATGTGTGTTGTATATGTATATTACCGTATATACTCGTGTATAAGCTGAGTTTTGAAGCACATTTTTAATAGTTTTTGTGGTAAAATTAGGTGCCTCGGCGGATATTTGGGTCGGCTTATACTCAAGTATATAGGTACATAAATAAAAACATTCACAGAGAGATTGGTATTATTCTAGGAAACAGGAGGAACACTACTCTACCTGCAAAGCCAGCTCTAGCTTCTTTACATAAGTGGGTACCAGGCCGAGCTCCAATGAGCCTCTGACTTAGCTCAGAATATCCACATTCTCCCGGAACCCAAGAGCAAGGGCCACAGATGTGTTTGAATGTCCAAGTAGGGGACTTGCTGTTCATTCTTTTTGGAGTCTCCGCAGCGCAAACCCATGCTTTCCCATGGCTAACTGTTTTGGGGAAATAGACTTTCTCCATAGCTCTTTGGCACATATAAGGAGAGCCCTTATTTTCCCTCCAGCCCCTGCCACGCCCGGCTTCCACAGATACACATACAGCAGGGGCACAGGACTTAATGGAATTCTACAACTGTAAGAAAGTCCTAACACTCTTCTAACTCCACCCCTTATGCTATCGCGGGCAATGTAAGGACTGGAGTCATTACAAGATTTGCCCAAGGTCTTCTCCAGCCTGCTGTACCAGTCAGGCAATCAGCAGCGCCCCTAGCGGCTGAGCTACGTACTCTCCCTAAAATGAAGCAGAGAGCTGGGGTTCCCCAACACCCATCGTGAGGGCTCCAGTGCTCCAAGGTTGTCAGCGCAGGGCCCTCTACTGCAGACACCACTTCAAAGAGGTGGCAGGCATCAAGACTGTACAGAGAGGATCTTAACTGGTGTTGTGCCCTTTAAATGCCACTTGGTTGGGAGTTCTTTCCTACAGACGGTCTCCACCTCTGTGACAGTGGGCAGAACGAAGAACAACTCCCTGTCCCCGTTGAGGGGAAGCAGGGAGCGGCAGAAGGCGTATCATAAAACAACTGATGAAAAGGGTTGAGAGAAATTATCAGGACAGAGAAATTGGGAGTATGGTTTTCGGTAGGGAACAAATGCCGAGAAAGAGGGTGTGCGGCAGCAGGTTTCTGCCCTTGTGCCAGGTCAGTGACTGACTACCTGAGTGTTTTTATAGGACCTGGGGGTCTTGTGAACGTGCAGATTCTGATACAGCCCGTCTGAGTGGGGCCAATATTCGAAAATTCTGCGTGTCTAACGAGCGCCCTGGTGATGCTCCGGCATTTGGAACAGGGAAGGCCCTCTGGGTGGGGCGATGGGTAGCCTCCCCGAGTTAACCTAGGTCCTCCACAGAGAGACAGCCAAGAGTTGAAGTTATCAGAAAGTGGTGGCGCAGCTCGGGATCAAGACAAGACACCTACCCCACGCCCACCTCCACCCCGTGGGTGTTGCCCCTGCTAATGTCCTGTCTCCTCTCCCCTTTTGCCGCCCGTGGGCCCGCGCAGAGGACAACGAGAACTCCAAGTCCGACGAAAAGGGGAACCAGTCCGAGAACAGCGAGGACCCGGAGCCGGACCGGAAGAAGTCGGGCAGCGCGTGCGACAACGACATGAACTGCCGCGACGACGGCCACAGCTCCAGCAACCCCGACAGCCGCGACAGCGACGACAGCTTCGAGCACTCGGACTTGGAGAGCCCCAAGGCGGGCGCCGACGGCTTCGGCGCGCTGGGGCCCATGCGCATCAAGGCGGAGCGCTCGGTGGAGAGCGAGTCGGACCTGCGGCTGCAGCCCTGCGACTCGCTCACGTCGGACAGCGCCAAGGACTCGGACGGCGCGGGCGAGGCGGGCGCGCACGCCGCGGGCAAGCTCCAGAAGCGCAAGAGGCGGCGGAAACGGCAGAAGGGCGGCAGCGCCAGCCGCCGCCGCCTGTCCAGCGCGTCGAGCCCCGGCGGCCTGGACGCCGCGGGCCTGGTGGAGCCCCCGCGGCTGCTGGCGTCGCCCAACAGTGCCTCGGTGCTCAAGATCAAGACGGAGATCGCCGAGCCCATCAACTTCGACAACGACAGCAGCATCTGGAACTACCCGCCCAACCGGGAGATCTCCAGGAACGAGTCTCCCTACAGCATGACCAAGCCCCCCAGCGCCGAGCACTTCCCGTCCCCGCAGGGTAGCGGGGGTGGCGGTGGCGGTGGCGGTAGCAGTAGTGGCAGTGGTGGCAGCGGAGGAGGAGGAGGAGGGCTGCACGTGGCCATCCCTGACTCGGTCCTCACCCCGCCGGGTGCCGATGGCGCCGCTGCCGCCCGCAAGACACAGTTCAGCGCCTCGGCCA